CTCCTTCATTTCGAAGGGATATTTTTTCAAGGTATGGAATTCTAGGTTGACAGTTTCTATTCTCTCAACACTTTATATATTTCACTCTACTCTCCTCTTGCTTGTACGGTTTCAGAGGATGAGTCAGAAATGATTCTTTCACTTAATTCTTTTAAGTAAGGTGTTGTGCTTTGTTTCTTAATCTGGTTTCTTTCAGGAGATTTTCCACATCTTTGATTTTCCGTATTGTGAAAAATGATGTGCCTCAGTGTTCTTTGTTTTTCTCCTGCCTTTATTCTGCCTGGTGTTCTGCGAGCTCCCTGTGTCTGCGGTTGGGTGTCTGACATTAATTTGGGGAATTCTTAGTGTTCTTTCAAATATTTCTTCCTTTCCTTTCTCTCTTTATTCTTCTGATTTTACCATTACTTGTATGTTGTGACATTTGCAGTTGTCTCACAATTTTGGGGTATCTTTTTCTGATTTTTTCCCAGCCTGTCTCTATTTACTTTTTAGTTTTGGAGGTTTCTATTGACATATCTTCAAACTCAGAGATTCTTTCCTCAGCCATTGTTTGTCTACCAATAAGTCCATCAAAGACATTATTTTTATCTTTTACAGTGTTTTTGATTTCTAGTATCTCCTTTTGATTATTTCTCAGAATTTCCAATACTTTGCTAACATTGCCCACCTGTTCTTGCATGCTGCGTATTTTATCCATTATATTTCTTAACATAGTAATCATAGTTGTTTAAAATCCTGGCCTTATTGTCCCTTGTGCTTGCTACATCTGAGTCTGATTCTGCTCATTTATCTATCTCTACAAACTGCTTTTTACCTTTTAGCATACCTTGTGTTTCTTTTTCTGGACAGCAAGTCTTGATATGCTGGGTCAAAGGGACTTCTGTGAACAGGCCTTCAGCAAAGTGGTGGGATGGAGCTGGGGAAGGGCGGGGGCTCTACAATCCCATGATCAGGATTCAGGAGTCAGTGAGCCTATATCTCTGGACTGTGAACTTCACATGTGCTCTCAGCCCCCCACGTAGGCAGGGTGGGACGGCTAAAGTGGGCTGGAGTACCCCCAGGTAGGTTTGTCCCTGATCAAACCTTAGCACATCAAGTTCTGGTAGAATAGTTTCCCCTTAGAGCAGACTTTTTAATAAGAGAATGCTCTAGCGTATTTCAAAATTGTTCATTTTTTTCTTTCCTCTGTCAGAGGCACAATAATTTTTCTCAGAAATTCACTCTAAGAAGCAGGTCCAGCTGCTGGAGGCAAAACTCAAAAAAGTTTGGGCCCCTATGACCAGGTCCTCCTGGAGTTTCAACTCTCTGACAGTCCACATTTGCCCACCCTGGGCCTCCAGCCAACTGCCAATCACAGGTCAGGTTTCCCTATCCCAGCACTGGTCCCCTCGTTGGCTCAGTTGTGATTCTCTGCGTTCACCTGTGAGTCTCCCCAATTTGGGGGCGGCAATTTGCCCTATGACCTCACTGCTCTTATGAACCTAAGAAGAGCTGAAGCCTTTTCAGTTCAGCTGTTTAGTGTTTGGGGATGGAGTGGTGACTTCCAGGCTTCTAAAATCGTGGATTGGAAACCAGAAGTCAAGCCAACACCTTATTTCTTTTTATTTATAGTTCTTCTAATTACTATGCACTGGACATATAATAGATGGTCTATATCTGAAATGCATAATTTGATACCTTTTGACAATTTATACCCCTTTCAAGACATCAGCACAATCGAGAGAGTGAACACTTCTGCCCTGGCACAGTCTCCTCAGGCCCCATGGGAATCCCTCTCTCACCCCATCCCCTCATTTCCTCCTCAGGCGGCAACGGATGTGCTTCCTCTCACTGTGGTGGGTTTGCATTTTCTCAGATGTATAAATGGAGTCACACAGTGTCACCCTTTTATGACCCAGTTCTTTCACTCAGCGCACTGCTTTTGAGATTCTTCAACATTGTTCCTGAGTTGCGCTCAAACATGGAGGATGCACTATGAACTTTGGGGACATAGGGGCTTCCCCATCTCGGGCCCTTCCTCTGTTATTGAACGACATTGTAAATGCATCTTCTCCACTTGCGCTGTTATAGAGATTAATACAATCCACTCAGGATTCCACAAGGTACTACTATTTTTTCCTGGGCTACTTCAAGTTTCGCATCCTCTAGGGACTGTCGCTTCTGTGCCTGGTGGATGCTCAGCCCTGCAGGCATTTGTGTTGTTATTTCCTCATCTTCCCCAGTAGTGAATAGAATGCTTTATTATTTCTGGTTTAGAATGGGTAACTCATGATCACAATGCCAAATCAATTTATAAAGAGTGCGTACCCTCTGCGTCCTTTCTCTTGGACCATTGGTTTCTCAGTAGAAGAGGCCAATGATGCTGATATATATTCATCCAGAGAAATGTTTTTCATTGACTGCCAGTTGCTTTGTTTTGTTTTTTTATGTCCTTAGATTTGTGACCTTATTTCTGACAACCAACTCACTCTTACTTCCCAGGCAGGGGACCAGCATAGAGAGGATGCACATGATCTTGGGGTGGGCTATTAGGTGGAGCAAGAAAACCAGAGGTCAGTTAAATTTGAATTCAGATAAACAACATAGAATGTTTTGCTATAAGGATGCCCTATGCAATAGTTATTATCCGAGCTTCTAGATTAACAATGTGTCCTGTATTTTATCAGATCCTTCTACCTAGAGGTCACATCCGGCAAGAGCTGAGTTGGCGGAGCTCCCCCTCCTGACTCCAGGTCTGTACTCTTAACCTCTGTGACAGAGAGTCTCTAACCAGTTATCCCCAAGGGACTCCTTCAGCCACAATACATGCACGTGGCATACCTCTCATTCAGTAGTGTCTCTTGAATTTCCTCAGTAATCATTCTATTATCCTCAGAGCCCAAGACTCAAGGCCTCTCCACAATCTTCTACATCTTGACCTCTGGATCAGGGACCTGTGGTGTGTTTCAACCAGAGAATTGAATCTGGCAGATGCAGAGACTCAGTGCCCTCACAAGGGGGCAGCAGCCAGAGGTGACAAGATGAGTGAGGATCTAGGCCAGGAGGAATTCCTGGCACAGAGCTGGCCGGGAACCCTTGCTGAGAACCTGGACCTTCAGTTGTAAATTCAGGGAGGGGGGATTAGTCAAAGCGAAAGTTTGGGGCCTGAGGCCAAGAAAGCTCTTCGTAGGTCATGAGAGGATGAGGATGCTCTGTAGTTGCTGGGAAAATGCCGAGCCTGCTCCAAGGCAGGTGGGTGAAGTGGGTTTATGGATAGGACCTTCTTACAGCTGACACCACTCAGGACTCATGTGGACTCCTATGAGTGTGTTTTCCTCAGCTCACAGGCACTGACCCGTGTCCGCCTCTCCTGTCATAAACCATTGGAGTTTTCAAGAATCTGGGGTGTGAGGTGGGGCTGTGGGACATCAGGGGCAGAAATACCCAATATGTGCACGTGTAACCCTCCCTGTGAAGTTCTTGATGAGCCTCAGATGCCAAGCTTACCTTCTCCTGCACAGGCAGCAGCAGACATTGGGGGTCACCATGGCAATGGTACCAAGGACTCCCATGCAGCACCCCTATGTGTGTGACCTAGGACAGAGGTGATGGACCTGCCAGGAGTTTGAGCCTGATTCTCCAGATTCAAGTTTGTTAACAAAGCCACTTTCACCACCTCTGCTCCAGCCTGAGGACTAATCTGATGACCCTTGTTATGGAGCTGAACACAACCCCAATGCCACTAAGAGCTCCTGTTCCATTGGAAAATGTGTAAAAAATCTGCTTCACTTCAGTCCCTGTCTGACCTGTCATTCCCTCGTCTGACCTGTCACTCCCCTGCCCCTGCCTGTGACCAACACCAGCTCAGGTTTTGGCTTCTGCTGTCACTTCTGCTACTAAAACTGGAGGGCTTCATACTCTCGACTCCGTCTATTTTATGGGGTCAGGGAAGATACCTCCTTTAGAAGATAATGGTCTCCTTGGCAAACAGAATTGCTTTGCTGCCAGAAGCAAAATAGCCTCCACAGTTGTTAGTGGTGACGAGAAGGGCAGAAATGCAGCATATGTGAGCTGGGAGAACCAGGTGACCCCCATCCCAGCCACTTGTACCAGACTGGGCTTTACTGATAATTCCCTGAGTTCTGAAACATCAAGAAGTTGTGTTTCTCTTTTACCTGATTCTAGAGCTTTGTGGAGCTCCTGAATTCCCAGGTGCTGGAAATTCCTCTCAAATGAGAAGACCTGAACTGACCCATTACCAAGAAAGATACACATATGGGAAACAGACATGTGAAAAGATGCTCAACCTAACAGGTCATTGGAGTATTACAAGTTTAAGCAAGAGACCACTAGACCCTGTTAGAAGGGCTGAGAATCAACACATGACAACAGTAGATGCTGCCCAGGGTGTGGGGTGGCAGGAACCCTCATTCACGCTGGTGGGAATGTAAAATGCCACAGCCACTTTTGAAGAGACCTTGGTAGTTTCTTACAAAGCTAAATTAACTCTTACATGATACAATACAGAAATCACACTACTAGGTATTTACCTACATGAGTTACTTGTGTTGACACAAGAATATGCTCACAGATGTTTACAGCTGCTTTATTCATGATTGTCAAAACTTGAAAGCAACCAACTTATCCTTCAACAGATGAATGGAAAAACAAACACCGGAATATGATTAGAGATAAAAATTAATGAGTCATTGGCCCCCCAAATACACGGAGGAACATTTTATGCATATTTCTAAGTGAAAGAAGCCAATCTGAAGAGGCTGGATCTGTGAGGGGTGCAGGATGCAAAGGGCAGGAGCCCTGAGCACCAGGTCCAGCCCAGGGTCGTCATGTCTCCTGCATCCACCAGAAGGCGCTGGTGCTCCCAAGTTCCTCTGCTGTGAGCTCCTCTCTGCCTTGCCTCTTGCAGGTGTGCATCTGTAATCCTCAGGGTGAAGTCCTCCCCTCTCTTACGCTCTCCTTTTAACAGATGCAGGCTAGGCTGAGATTGTAGGAGGGGCATGCGCAGCCTCCAGAAAGGGGAAGATTTGCATAGAGACCTCCCACCCAGAGAATAAGGGTGACTTAAGAAAGGTTGGTGGGCTCAGGCCTGGCTGTGGGGCTCAGGAAGCAGAGTCTAAGAACATCTCCACCATGGCCTGGGCTCCGTTCTTCCTCATCATCCTAGCTCACTGCACAGGTGGTTGCCTGCAGGGGATTCTGGGAGGACACCAGAATGTCTCCTGGATTATGATCTCTCCTTCCTCCCTGGGAATGGAGAGTGTCCTGCCGTCTTTGATCTCTGTGTTGCTTCCTTCTTGCAGAGTCTTGGTCTGAGGTTGTGCTGACTCAGCCTCGCTCTGTATCAGAGTCACTGGGACAGAAGGCCACCATGTCCTGTACCCGCAGCAGCGGCAACATTGGAAGCAGCTATGTGTACTGGTACCAGCAGCGCCCGGGCAGTGCCCCCACCACCATGATCTATGATGATGACGAAAGACTCTCTGGGGTACCCGATGGGTTCTCAGGGTCCATTGACAGCTCATCCAACGCTGCCTATCCGACCCTCTCTGGGCTGCAGCCTGAGGACGAGGCCGACAACTACTGTCAGTCTTATGACAGCAGCTATAAGCACACAGTGCTCCAGACCTGTGGGGAAGTGCGATCAAAACTCCCCAGAGCCTCCCCATGCTGCGTCTGCCCTCAACCTGCCCCCATCAGAGAGGGTTGCTCTTTCCTGTTTCCTCCCAGAGTGTTCTTCTTGAGACTGTATGTTTATGAGGCCCTCTGTTTTCTTTCCAAACTGCCGCCCCATGTCCAGATGGATGATTTCCTAGTCCCTTTCCATCGCTTCATGGAGGTGACAGTTGCAAACAGGGTTTCTGAACCTCAGCGCTACTGCCCATGCGGCTGGATCACTCCCTGTGCCGGCAGCTGTTCTGCACATTGTAGGAGGTTTAGAAACGTCTTTGGGCTCAGCACATCAGATCTTCTCCCTGTCAAGTCATGACACACAAAAGCACCTCCAGACATTTTTAAATATCTCTGGGGGGAGGCAAAATAGCCCCAGTTTGAGAACCACTAGGTTAAAAGAACACATTCTCAGCTGTTAGGAGGCCTTTTAAATTGAGTCTTCTTTCTGCCATTCAGCTGGACGGAAGGCTGGATGTGTCACCTCTCTGTGCTTCTGCTTTCTCATCTGTTAGACAAAACAGTGAAACAGACGCAAATGAGGCCAGAAAACCTGTGACCCACTCACATGGAATCTCCTCTCAACCAGAGAGCAGAGGACAATTTTTTTTCCAGACCAGGTATGAAATTAATATTTTGAATTTTATTTTTAAAGATTTTTTATTTTTTCCTTTTTCTCCCCAAAGCCCCCCGGTACATAGTTGTGTATTCTTCGTTGTGGGTTCCTCTAGTTGTGGCATGTGGGACGCTGCCTCAGCGTGGTCTGACGAGCAGTGCCATGTCCGCGCCCAGGATTCGAACCGACGAAACACTGGGCCGCCTTCAGCGGAGCGCGCGAACTTAACCACTCGGCCACGGGGCCAGCCCCGTTAATATTTTGAATTTTTACACAATGCACATGAAAATATAACAGATCCTTCTTCATTTCTTTTCTGAGGAAATATTTTTCAAGCATAGGAGACAAAGATGAATAAAAATGGACAGGGTCGCGTACCTCTGGAGTTCACATTGTAGTGTGGGTATGAGACAGCAGACAGGAGCAGCAGGTGGACGGTGGGGCGATTCTGAGGATAGAAGACGACCCCCAGGAGCAAAGAAACTGCTCCATTCACCTTAGTTGTTTGAGTGTCTGCTCACATTTCACTGAACTAAGAGCCTGTGAGATAACTGTCTCATGACACGAAATACACGGCTCAAACTCCAGGACGAGATGAGTTAAATTTAACATTCAACTCCTCAACCCAAATCCCCCAGAGGACCCTGGTGGGAAAACTCATGAAGAAGGAATGATGGGTCAGGAAACTCTGTGCAAATGAGACCCAGCTGTGCCCTGGGGAGAGTGCATGGAGGAGCCCCATGGATGACTGTGTGCGGATGGGCCGCGGGCCTGGGATTCCTTCCACTCAAACGTGTCACCCATGGACCTCACGGCACAAAACACAGGATGCCTCGCTCTTCCTTTGCTTTCTCAGTCAGGACAACAAGCAAACGAGCTCACTGTTGGAGAGATTACGACTCAAATACAATTATGTGAGAGCAGTTGGACTCCTCTGCTTTATTCATGATTGTCCAAACTTGAAGATAACCTATATGCTCTTCAAAAGGTGAATTGATAAACACCAGGACCTCTATACAATTGATTATGATTTCGCCATAAAAATAGATATTGGTTTTAAAATACTATTCCGTACAATATTGTATTTTGTACAAATTTTTAATGTGCAAGATTTTGGGGACAGTAAAAATGTACGTGCATGCTAAAGCACAGACCAGTGGTGTGATAATTGTCTTTGTATTTTTCACATTCAGCGAGGTATTAGGATGAGGGATAAAGTAGGGTGGAAGATTAAAGATGGGTCCTATTGATGACAGTTGAGGTTGGGTGATGGGTGCAGGCAGATCTTGGGACCATTCTCTATAGTTTACATAACTTCAAAACTGTCCACAATGTATTTTTTAAATTCTCTACTCCTATCTGTGATGACGTTGGCATGTCCTTCTGTTAAGGGACACTCAGAGTTGCTAACATGTGTTTTTACCATAATCTCAAGTTTAAGACCTTCCATTGTGAACAGACAGAGGAGAAGTTGGCTTGGGGACCATGACAAGGGGCAGAAATTAAGGTTTTGAAGTTACAGGGAAGTGAGGGAAGCTGGAGGTCTGAGAACAAGGAGAGGGGCTGTGAGGCGCTGGGGAGGGGGCAGGGACCAGACCAGGAAGGCCCCTTAGGGGACCTGAGGAGTTGGGGTTTATGCAAACAGCAGCGAGGATCACTGAGTAGGGGGTTGATCTGCCTGAGCAGAGTGAGAAGGATCCCTCTGAAGGCCTTGAGGAGAGAGTGTCTGGGGGACGCAAGGGATCCCAGTCACAAGTCATTTACTAAGAGGCCCTGTGAGTCTAGATGTTAGGGGACCACGTGCACAGATAAAGCAGAGCTGGATATGGGTATGGTGGAGAAGTGATGACTTGTGGATTCAACTGCCCAGACACTCACCTGGCCTGCAAAAACTTTAAAATGTTACATTTAGCTTGCTATGAAGCTAAGACCATGAGCAAGAAAATACAAGTAGGAAAAATTTTATTTAAAACATAAACAAATTGTATGACACCTTAGAAAGAATGCTGATAAGATATATATGGCACAGAGAGGCAGAACTGTACAAACAGTATAGAACCCAATGCGTAAGACAAAGAAGCATTTTCCACATTCACTAGTAAAGGTGGAGCCTGCCAAAGCCATTATTCTTTACCAATTACTGAATCAAGCTAGTCTCTATCAAAACTTTAAATGCACGACCTGATTTTGAAATGTTTGTTGAACTGTCCAGTTTGAACCACTGAGCTTACTCCTGGCGCATCCCCAGTCTGTGCCATTTCCCTGGACAGCCCTGCATGTCCTTCAAACCAGCTCAACCGTTCCATCGTCTGAGACACGTGGCCTGATGTGCATCCTGGTCGTTTAGCTTTTGCTAAAGTTCACTCTAAATAGTTACGTACGTACATATTAGCTTGTCCCATGGACCAGCGCTTCTTCTAGGAGTGAGAATTGACAGTAACCAAGCACACTGCATCAGAATCAAAGTAGCTGGGAATCAGATGCTGGATGCATGAACCCTGTCACCTGGTGAGCTGCAGAAACCAGCTGGGTGCTCAGGGCTTTGTTCCATGGGGAGGGGTATGCTCTGTGACCAGCAGGCGGCGCTGTGAGACTGTCCTCTGGTCCCTACACAGCTGCTCAGTGAGGGCTTTTTCGCAAAGCAGCCTGTGCCAGGGGGCTGGGCCCTGTGCTCACTGAAGGGGACTGAGCAGCTGAGCCCTCTCTGACCTGGCAGAGTCCCCTGAGCAGGCACCTTTGTGTTGTCTCACCAAGTGCTTACTCCCGGGGCTCTCCCAAGGGGTGAAGCCCACCTCCATCCTCCTCAGTGTGTGGTGTGAGCTGAGCTCCAGCACCAGGGCTCAGGGAGGGGCTGGGCAGTCACTGGATGGAAACCATTTGCATGGACAGCCCCTCCTGTGGCAGAGGGTGGAGAAGAAAAGGAGGCCTGGGGCAGCCCAGCGCCACTGTGGGGACCAGCAGATGTATGTACCATGGCCTGGACTCCTCTCCTGTTCGTGCTACTCTCTCACTGCACAGGTAGGGACAGGGCTCGGGGACACAGGACATCCTCCAGCTTCTGTACCTTCTTGCTCAGACTCCTGAGAAACCTAACCCGGGTCCCTGACCCATCAGCCATGAGTGTCTGTGTTTGCAGGTTCCCTCTCCCAGCCTGTGCTGACTCAGCTGCTCTCCCTCTCTGCATCTCCTGGAGCATCAGCCAGACTCACCTGCACCCTGAGCAGTGGCATCAATGTTGGCAGCAAAGATACAATGTGGCACCAGCAGAAGCCAGGGAGCCCTCCCCAGTGTCTCCTCTACTACCACACAGACTCAGATAAGCACCAAGGCTCCAGGTCCCCAGCTGCTTCTCTGGATCCAAAGATCCTCAGCCAGTGCAGGGCTTCTGCTCATCTCTGGGCAGCAGCCCGAGGACAAGGCTGACTGTTACTGTGAGACTGTGCACAGTAGTGCTTCTCACAGTGACACAGGCAGATGGGAAATTGGGGCAAGAACCTCAGTCTGCTCAGGCCCTTGGAATAGACGCTTCTGCAATTTTACAGTAACTTGTATGCACAGTAACAATACCTCAAAGTAGTTTCTTGTTCATAGTGGCTGTCTTCCTAATTTTCCACTCAATACATCTGAAATCTCAGGTAAACCAACACCAAAATGAAAACCAAACCAAATAAAATACAAATCTCATGATGACACTGAATCTTTGCCTGGTGACCCATGTGTGATAAAATCAGAGCCTTTGTAGCTGGGCTGTTTGTCTCGAAAGATGGGAAATCAGCCTTTGCTAGATTTTTTCTTGGTGGGAACCCAGGGTCCATCCAGCAGGTGCACAGTTCTCCACAGCAGGGACTCTGCTCTTTGGGGTCAGGGTGGCGACATTCCCTCCCTCCCAGGCTCCTGTGCTCAGATCTGGCTGAGGCTCACAGTGTTCAGGGACGAGACATTAAGACGTAAGACACTGTTATGATAAACATCACAGGAGGAATTCCAGCCACAGAGCATGCCTGGTGCACTTGCTTGGTGCCTGGACCTACAGTTGTGATGTCAGGGAGAAGGGGAGGAAAATGCTGAGCTTGCTCCAGGGGAGTTAGCTAAAGTAGGTCCTCTGGATGTGACTTTCCTACAGCTGATCCCACTCAGGCCTCATGGGAACCACTGAGGGTGGGTGATTCTGAGCCTACAGGTACAGATTTGAGTTGGTCTCTCCTCATATATCTCAGTGGACATTTCCAACTGGACAAGGTGTAGGAGAGTTTCAGTGGAATATGAGGGACCAGAAACTCCCCAATATGTGCATGAAGTGAATCCATCCTGTGAAGCTCTCTAGAAGGACCCAAATCATCTCTTGTAATGACAAAAATTGTAGGTTGTCATGAAAACCCTGACCAAGGACTCCCAGGCAGAGCCCCTTAGTTTGTGACCTAGAACAGCAGTGATGGCCCTTCAGGGGGTCCAGACCAAACTCCAGATCCGGGTCTGTCAACCTTACCTCCTCAACCAGCCTGATGATGAGGCTGATTGTCACTGTCAAACAGCTGCATACAAGCTCCATGCCACCCCCAGCACATGGGGAGTGAGATAAGGATCTGCCCTCCAGTCCCCAGTCTGACCTGACTCTCCTATGTCCTAGCCTGTGGTGCACACCAGCCCAGATTTGGGCTTCTGCTGTCACTTGAGCTACTAAAAACAGAGGGATTGATGCTTTTGAGTCACTCAATTTATGAATGCAATGAAAACAACCCATTTTACCACTGGATTTCCAAAACAAGGAAAGCACTTTATCACCAGAACTTATCATAACAACCCCCTGCCTCGTGCTGGCTAGGATGACGTGGAGAAGAGAAGTCCAGCCAGTGTGACCCAGGAGACCCAGGACCTCCTCTGCTCAGTCCCCTACATGTCCCATGAGCCTGGCCCTGGCTTTGCCGATCATGCCCTGAGCTCTGAAACCTTCACAAAGTGCAGTTTCTCTTCTCCTCAGATCACATCCTCGAGGAACTCCTGGATCCCAGGTGCAGGAGTGGACTCTTCCCATTAAGGACCTGGCTCTCAGGCTGATCACCTCCTCACTTTCCCCAGTGTAATCCCACAGACCTTAGTTGTTTTGCAGCTCTAATTTTTTCTTGTTTATTTTGGGGGGTTGAGAGGATATTTGAAAGCGTCTTAGTTCTTTGGTATCTAGAGACCATGACCCAACCCTCATTATCACAGAGAACCCTGACATGACAGGACAATTTACAGAAAGCACTGTCCTTTCTTCAATGTCAGCATATGGAGAAGCTACCAAGTACACCTGATCAGGAACCAGTGTGGGTTGGGTGACAGATCTTGGATGCCACCAAGTCAAGGAGGGAGGATGAATCTCAAAAAAGGACAGATATTCATAGTAATGTTTTACGCACCAATCTTCAGACTGAAAACAATGATAAAACTAGACTACAGTAGTAAAAACCAACCATAAATATATCATAGATTCAGAAGACAAAAGGATACATCTCCAGAATAGCCATTAAGGTTGAATGAAAGCACAGACTGGTCAGCAGGAGAGAGGACATGTTTTCTCCAACAGCTTTGTATGCTAGTGGCCAAGAGAGACGCCAAGCAGCAGTACTCGTGCAGTGGGCTGAGGGGTCTACCAGGAGTCCCTCACAACAACAGCAGCAACAATAACAGTGGCAACACCAAGACAAGTCAGCCTGTCAGGGTATCCCATATAGGTTTTTGGTCTTCATGAACCAACAAGGTTCATTGCAGGATTTTGGGCCTTGAAAGTGGTTCAAGATGATCTTACACTAATAGTGACCCCAGACACATGGCTGAAGCAAAGTTAAATGTCAGTTAATCTTGAAATAGCGGGCAACATAAGGAATGTGCAATATATGCTGTATTCAGCAGCCTGGAGGTCCTTAGTTATCTGGAGACAATTAATATCTCAGCCTATATCTCCAAGAAGAGACCTACTCATTGAATGATTATGACAGTGACATCACAGAGATCCATGTGCAAAATAAGGATGCCCTAGAGGAGTGCTGAGTGGAGTCAGAGGGGCTGGCGGACCCTGGATCTGAGACCAGAGGGGTGCTGTTGGACGGGTCCTGAGACGGCAGTGTTCTGGGCAAGGCAGGCACGGAGAATGTTCTAGTGGCTCTTTCACACTTGGGCAAACAGTGTCCTCACTGAAGTGTGGCTCTCTTGTACCTTTGTTTGTTTGTTTGGTCAAAATGAAGATTCTCATACTCACTACAGAGAACATGGTCTATAGCATATAGCACCATCCTCCCAATTTGTTCTCCCAAAGTCTCTCCTTGACAGAAAAACATTATCTGATAGTGTCACATTTATCAGATATTTCTCATGGCTGGCTCCCATGGGGACAGAGTTCGTGGTGGGTCAGGGGAAAACCAGGGACACAGAGAGTCCAGCTGAGTCTGACTCAGGATAGCCAACTATTCACGTCCATCCAATGCACTATTCACTGAACACCAACTATGTGCTGGGCTTGGATGGGGGATAGGAGCTGTTAGAGGATTTGACAAGGAAGATAAGGAATCTGATTAATTTTTGAAGTCCAGCTGTTCATAGAAGATGAGTGAGGAGGAGCTGAGAGTGAAAGCAAGGGCATGGTGTGGTTTGTGGACTTGATACCAAGTTCAGACTAGAGTCCTGGATGAGGGATGGAGCAGATGAGGTGGAGAAGGATGGTCAGACTCTGCATGTTCTTTGGAGGTGAGGAAGGGGATGTAGGAAAGAGGTTTGGAGGCTGGTCCTTGGGGACTGGGTGAGATGTGAGTGAGCTGTACCTCCTGGATGAAGGTCTATGGACACAGGTGTGGGGTTGAGGTCCTGAGCTCATCCTTGTGATGGAAATATAGACAGCAGCCCTGCTGCCTTGTTCAGTGGTGACAGGAATGCTGTAATTGTCAAGTGTGTAATCTCAATGCACTTCACTCCTTCTCTGAGATTTATTTGAGTTGTCCAATCTCCAAGATCTCACATGTCCCCAGGCGGATTTCCCACATGGGTCAAAAATGTCCCTGCAGTCCCAGGCATCACATCCACACAATAAATCCTCCTGAATAAGAGAGTTTCCCTCCCTCATCCATTGAACAGGAATCTCAGACTTCACGAGGATGGGACCAGATCACTCAGACCATCTCCCCTGACTCCATCATGGTGAGTAGGGAGGGGATTGTCTGATTGGTTTGGAAAATGAAAGGCCTGTCCCTGGAGCTCGAGCTTGGGCAAATCACATGCTCACTGAATGAGTGGGATATTTGGGGTCTGAGAGGAGAGGAAAGGACAGAAGGTTTCCCTCAGTGGTCCCAGCATGTGCATGATCTGCTCTCCACCGTCGTCATTCGTTCATGTTGGGTTTTCTACTGTGCACCCTGGGAGCTGGGCAGGGGCCACAGGCCATGGACACCTGTCTCATAAAACTCTGCCTCTGGCACCCTGATCTTTCTAATGTTCTGCAAAGGGTCAGTCTCAGGTGAAATGACACCCACTCCAATCAGTGAGGTCCCAGGCTGAATTCAATAGTCTCCAGAGAGGGAGAAAGGGGCAAAACTCCCTCATGAGGACGTCCTCTTCCCAGAGCGAGTGAGAAGGGTGATTACATCTCAAGAAAACACACTACTGGCCACTGCCTGCCATCGCCTGGTCTCCTCTCCTGCAACTGCTTCCTCTCTCAGGTGAGGACAAGTTCCAAAGGCCCCGCTCATGGATGTCTAGACACACACTCCAGTCCAGATCCCTTCTGTCACGTTCCCCAAGCACATGATTCCTCAGGCCACTGAGGGCTCATTGCTGAGATTCTCCACCTCACAGGGCCCAGGTCTCAGGGGCTCTGTCCCAGTTACCTTTCTCTTCTGTGTCCTGGAGCTGGGATTAGAGTTAGCCTGACTCAGAAAAGTGAACACCTGAGTCTCATACAAATATAGAATGAGCCATGTAAAATATTCTATTCAATTCATACATTAGTGAGGAGACAGGTAAATGGTAATAGTTTGTCAAAGAGCATAGCAAAATTCAAAGTACTCACATTCCACCAGGAATAGGACCTTTGGAGCAAAGTTTTTGATTGTTGGAGATGTGCTGCTTAATCGCTAACAAGGGAGGGATCAAATAAGATGAAATAATCTGTGTCTTTCCCTGAACAGGATCTGCATCCATGGGGCCGGTCACTGTTCTGCACTTGATCCTGATCTAAGAGGAGTTTGTGTAAGAGACACCCCCTCATTCCTGACCCCTGAACAGCTAAAGGAGTTGTGGACAGACTCACTCCTGAAGAGTATGAGTAGAGACTGCCCTGAGGTGATGTGGAGGCTACACAAGGGGCCACCTGGCCTGACCCTAAGGCAGGGGGACAGTGGACAGAGAGTGGGGATGCAGGAAATGTCTCTGATGGGCTTTGGCCACCCTGTGACACAACTGTGGGTCTGGGCCTGGACACCACGGGGTGCTCAGTGCTCCATCCTGAGGTTCCTGGGGCTGATCACAGCTGGGACCAGCCACCTGACACTGCCTGGCACCCTCTGCTCAGGGCTCATGGCTGAAAATGCCCCACCCCCTGGCCACCCTTGGGCAGGGGGAACTGACCCAAGTCCCAGTGAGGGATCAGAAGGCTGGGAGGGTCTGATTTGCATGTGGGGGCCCTCCCTCTCTCAGAGTATGAAGAGGGGATGGAAGAGATTTGGGGGAAGCTCTTCTTCAGCTCTGGGGCCACTGAAGGCAGGACTTGGTGACAATCTCCACCATGGCCTGGTCCCCTCTCCTCCTCACCCTCATCGCTCTCTGCACAGGTGACTACGTATGGGGATAAGAGAAGGGGACCGGGGAAGATGCCTGGGACCCTGCTTTCTCTTGTCTCTAGACTCCAGAATCACCATCTCTGTGTCTCTCTCACTTCCAGGATCCCGGGCCCAGTCTGTGACTCAGCCCGCCTCAGTGTCTGGGACCCTGGGCCAGACAGTCACCATCTCCTGCTCTGGAAGCAGCTCCAACATCGGGAGTGGTCATGTGTCCTGGTACCAACAGATCCCAGGAACAGCCCCCAAACTCCTCATCTATTCTTCCGCTAGCAGGGCTTCCGGGGTCCCCGACCGATTCTCTGGCTCCAGGTCTGGCAACACAGCCACCCTGACCATCTCTGGGCTCCAGGCTGAGGATGAGGCCGATTATTACTGTGGTACATTGTACAGCAGTTGGAGTAGTGACACAGTGCTGCAGGCCTGTGGGGAAGTGAGACAAAAACCTGCTGTCCCCCCAGTGATGGGGCTTCTCTGTGCAGCCCCCACTCCTCGGCCGAGGCAGCTGCTTCCTTGGCTTGTTTGGTGAAAAGCAGCTCTGATATTTGATCCCAGGAACTGAGTCTAGAAGATGTGTCCTCATCCTCTCAACATCTGTCCCCACTGCTTGTCCTTGGTTTCAATCCATGGTCTGTTTTCCTCAAATCGAGCAGACATTCCCGGATGCTGGGGCAGGATGCACTGGGGACAGAGTCCACCAGGGGTGTGTGTGTCTGCCAGGGCTGCCATAACATAACACCACAGATGGGGTGGCTTAACCAACAGAAATGTCTCTTCTCACAGTTCTGCAGGCTGGAAGTCGAAGATCAACGTGACGGCAGGTTTGGTTTCTCCTTGTCTTGCAGATGGCTGCGTCCTCAGTGTCCTCACAGGGACTTTTCTCTGTGCACTCACCCCTGGTTTCTCTTCCTCTTCTTATAAAGATGCCAGCCCTACTTGTTAGAGCACCAACCTTATCATCCCATTTACCTTAATTACCTCCTTCAATGCTTTATCTCCAAAGAGAGTCAGAACAGGGTTAGGGTCTCAACATAGGGTTTTGAGGGACACAGTTCAGTCCATATCAGGAAGTCAGGGCAGAACCAGGGACAAAGTGTCCAGCTGTGTTTGACTCAGGCAAGTTGACCTTCCAGATTATGTGCATCCACACCATTTACTGAACACCTACTATGGGTCAGACTTGGGTGTATGGGCTCAGGACAGGCAGTCGACATGATAGGAAGGGTTCCCATGCTCAATGTGGTGACACTTTCTGGGGGAAGACAGAGTACAAACAAGAAAAGTACACTGTACAGGAAAGCTGTTTTGGGAGAATAAGGAGGGTTGAGCTTGGTTGGGTGGAGATGGGAGCATTATATGGGTTGTCAGGGGATCAACAGAATCTGATGTAAATTTATGAGGCCCAGGTGCTGCATAGAAAAGGAAGGAGGAGGAGGTTTGAATGTAGATAGGGAGTAGGTAGGAACTGTGGATGACACAAATGTCAGACTGTGAGTCTGGTTAACGGGTGGAGCAGGTGGGATAGAGGAGAAAATTCAGATAATCTGTGTCTTGGAGGAAGGAGGTATTGAAGGATGGGGTTGGGAAAAAGCGGGACTGAGGCTGGGCTCTTGGGAGCAGTGTGGGGTGTGAGTGAGTCAATCAATGGAGACAACGTGATGGCCCCATCTAGTTCAGAGAGGACTAATTGAAGCTCACATTTTCAAGAGATATGATCAGCTCTGTCAAATTGGACTACTCATTAGGAATTCTAGGAATGCACATTTCTAGTTTACTCTCATCTTTCATTTGATCAAGACTTCACCTGTGCCTTTCCAATTTCAGTGTGTTGTTAGAGGAATAGAACGTGAAGGATGAACTCAGTCCCCTCGCTCTCAATGCTGCACCCCTATTAGAAACTTCCCTCCTTATAAAATCACGAAAATGACATTTTCTACCAGATTACTTAATCTGAACCTCATTAGTGGAATTCTGTAATGGGTTTGTGTTTAAATGCTTCCAGAGGGTTATTTTATGCATAAAGGATTGATTACACCTACTTGGTTTCTTTTCTCATTTTCTTGAGGAAGAAAATCAGCCAACAACACAGGAAGGCTGAAGAGGCTGAGACTTGGCTGCAGATGGGACCTCAGGCCTCAGAGTAGGGGGTCTGCTCTCCCACTGGGCAGGGTCAAGGCAGATGGGTCCACACATCCTGATCCCAGACATCCCCTGTGGGGGCTGGAAGGCTGTGCTGGGAAGCGGGTCTTCAGATGGGGTCATGTCCCAGGCAAGCAGAGTCTAGTAGGAGAAATCTAGAAAACACTCCTAGAAAACAAAGCATGATGGACGCACCTAAAGGGAGACAACTCCACAGGGCACTGATTAGGAGGACTCGGGCAATGTTTTTCCCTAAAGTAAAGAGAAAATAGTGGATGGACGTGTGGGGCTCCCTCCTGGGCACTGGACAGTTTCCTTGTTGGGTAGCGTTGGCCCTGGACCACATCTGATAAGGGCTGTACTGAGACAGAAGTCTGCTTCACGGTCCACAGCTGGTGCTAGTCTGAAGGCCTGCTTCTTGTGGCTTGGATTGGCATGTCCCCAGCCCCTTTCCTGGGCTGACAGGAGTGCCCGCAGACCACTAAGCACAGGGCTGGAACCAGGGCACATGGCTGCCTCAAGATTCCCAGTCAGACTGAGGTCAGCAGGCCTTCCTCCAGGGGCACTGATGGGCATGTGTCTTGTCTGGTGCCTGGATGGGCAGGATTGCTCCTGGACTGTGGCAAAGAGGGGCTGGAACTGGATCATGGGCTGCTTCAGTGTTCAGATCCAGGGACACGGTTGTCAGGGCTGCTAACTGAGGCATGGGCAGGAGTGACTCCTGCTGGGTCTCTGGCCAAGGGGTGCAGGTGGCAAGAAGAAGGCAAAAAAAAAAAAAAAAAGAAAAAGATTTGCCATATTCACATGGGGATGGCATTGTTCTGGGCCTGTCACCAGGACCCTCTGAGCATGGGGCTGCCTTCTCAGACACCACTCCTCAGCCTCAGGTTCTGCCAGGATTTCACGGTCTCCTGCCTGGATCCAGAAGCTCCCACAAAGGCACTTTTCTGCATTGATGGCCACCAAATCATGGTTGCTGAGTGAGGACACGAGTGGAAGACCTCCTGTTTCATCATCTTGCTGATGTCACTCTCCTGTTAAGCAATATTTTAAAAGTTTAGGTCATTTGTTTATTATTTTGTTCTCTTTTGGTTAGTAATTTTTGTGTTCAATCTAAGAAGACTTTGTCTATTCCAAGGACATGAAGATGTTACTGTATTATCATTAGAACTTTTATGATTTTAGCTTTTGTATTTATGACTATGATTCAAATCAAATTGAGTTTTACATATGGGATGAGGCAGTGGTCAGTGCTCACTATTTCCATACCACAGGCTTGTGATCCATTAAAGAAAAAACAGTGATTATTTCAACAGAAAAAAAATTGATAAAAATTGAGAACTTGTTGGTGATTTAGAAACGATCTCTCAGGAAAGTGGAATCAAAGGGAAGTCCCATTCCCTGATGGAAGTCAGGAAAATAAATAAATCAATGAAAATAATTACTCAAAGTGGTTTTATATTAGAGGTTCTCCATTTAAAACAGAGATAAAACAAACATCACATGTCAAAGAAGCGATGTCTTAGAATTGTTCTGATTTCCCCGTCCTTGGTCCTGCAGAGGATGTTCCAGATTGCGAGTTGCCCCACATGCAGGGAAGTCCCTGTCTGTCACAGTTTTCAAACTAAATCATCATGAGGAACAGTCCTCCAGGCTCTCTAACGTGTCCCATTTTTACAGATCGTCATAGTAAAGATGTTCTTGAATTCAAATGCTACAAAATCTGTTCTTGCAACAATTTGTCCTAGATGTCTGACTCAGTCCAAGGATAATAATTCCAAACCAAACTGGAAACATGAAATTTTTAAATAAAAAGTAACAGCGCAACATATGTCCACTTCTTTGGAGAATGTAAACAGGGTCCACTCATCAGAAATAAAAATGATGATAAGAATCATAATTATGTTCTTTGTTCAATATTTCTATCCTTAAATTCTACTTAAGAGAATATGCACCTTGGAGGTTAGATTTAACTTTGCAGATTTCCTAGAAAGTTGTTATAATAAAACAAGTATTCGCTCATGTCAGTGTGGTCAGTATCTCCAGCAGGTGATGAGTGAGCCTGGTCCAGAAGGAAGAGGGACTGGAGGACCAGAAGTGCTCAAAGAGAAGCGGGCACTGGGGTTCAGGGTTAAGCATCCTCTTAGCAAAGGAGACCCGCTTCTGTTTTTGTACAGGCTCCAGGGGAGAAGTGAGGCAGGAGGGGGGAAAATGATGGCCACACACAAAGACTTTGAATGTGACACTGAACAGCTTTACATATCTTGATGGGGAGAGAAACTGTGGGAAAGTTTTAAGCAGGGAGGCACTTTTATCAGATACATGTGCTTGAAATATCACTCTAATTACGGAGTAAAGAACGGAATAGAGTGGGCAACTGCGGGACGAGGCCACACTGAGGGACTCTGCAAGGCTCGGGGAGCAGGGCTGGGCTCTTCACATGGCACCTGGAATGGGGCAGAGCCATGTGCAGCTGAGGGGAGGCTGTGGACAGAGCACAGAGAATCTTGGTGTCAGTGTCCTGAGGAGGTAAAGGGCTCTCAGCCAGCAGGAACAGGCTCCGGATTCCCAGAGGAATTCTGTGAGTCTGTGCACTGTGTGTTTCTCCTGCTGGGAGCTAATCTCCGTGTGAATAGGAACTTTCCACCATTTTATCACTGCTCTATCTACAGAGCCCAGAAAACTGTGGCACAAAGGACAAACTTAGCAAGTGTATGTTGAAAGAATATTTGAATTCTCGTGAATTGCACACCTTGGTGAAGAGCAGATCTGAGGCAAAGATAATGATTCTCCTTCCTGGGCACTCTGAGTCTGGAGTTCTGAGTCAAATCAAGAGGAGACTTTAAGTGATAATGGTGATCTTATTGTCTATAGGACAGAAGAGAAACTCGCCCTTGACCCTGGAGAAGGCGACCAGGGAGATGGACTGGGTTCCACAGATTCATGCAGAGAAAGAGGAGAAGGATGCAATGGGCCTGCAGGTACTGAGGAAAGAAACCACGGGGAGCAGGTGGATGGGGGAACAATTGTGAGCACAGGAGACAAGCGCCATGAGCAAATAAACTGCAGAGTGTGGGTGAGCTGGATGGATGTCAAATAGCATTCCACTTAAGAACATGTGACATGGCCATTTGTCAACAAGATGTTACATATACAGCTCATGATCCAGCACAAGATCAGTGAAATTCTAATATTCAACTTTTAACCCCAAATCCAACAAAGGACCTTAGTGGGAAAACGT